CATCACTTGCCGGCGGATTGTTGAGTCAGGCCTGTGGGCAACACCTATTCCGAGTGGCGCGAGTGATCGAGCTACGACTTCGGAGACCCCTTTAATGTACGGAATGCTCCGCCACGAGTTTGGCTGACTGTGCTCCTCGTTCCGTTTCTTTGGCTGCCTCCGGCTTCGTTCAATGAATGCCCGTGGATAGCCATTGGCTCTGAAAAGTTCTCGCTACAAGTGAGGAAGCCACACCAATCCAAGGATCTCATATAGTTATTTATTACGTTGCTATCTACGCAGTCGTAGTTCATGAAAGTCTGAACGGCGCTTGTCTTTTTTGAAAAGGCAAGCGGTAGGCAACGATGAATTAATACGTGGTCACTGTCAAAGAGGTCCTTTTTTAAAGCAGCAGAAAGAGGAGCAATGTCATTGGTAAAGATTAGATCTAAAATGTGATTATCTCTTGTTGGCGAGCGCACCAGTTGGGACCAATTAGAAAAATTGACAATATCTTGAAAGGGCTGGAATCTGGGTGGGCAGCTATTGGAAACCCAGTCAATTTCAGGAAGGTTAAAATCCCCAGTGATTATTTTAACATCGAAAGCAGCTTCCGAAATTAATTTAAAGATTTCACAGAGTTGTGAATCATCACTGGCTAAAGAATTTGGGGGATTGTATATACAGCCAATGATTGCCTTTCTTTGCGACGAGAGAATAACAGATGCAAAGCAGAAGTTTCCCGTGAATGAGGAAACATCCAAGTAATAGGGAGAGTGCTTTAGGTAGGACTTAAGATAAAGAAGACAACCACCCCCACGCCTAGTCGTGCGGTCTTGGCGGTAAAAATCGAAGTCATCTATGAGAAGGACAGAGTCAGGAATTAGAGAATGTGTCCAAGATTCTGTTACACATATAATATCAGGCGTCATTTCCAGAGCAATGGCTCTGATTTGGGCCATCTTGTTTATAACAGACCTGGCATTCAATAATATAATATCTAATGTGTTTCGAACGGCAATGCTATTTTCGACGGTATTTTAAAAAAAATTTGGAGGCGGATATGTAAGCTGCGAATTAATGACACTTGGAGAATAAGTACCAGTTAATTTAGAGTTATTGACGTACGGGGAGACAGCAAGAGAAGGCTGAGTATGAGACCTAAAGGAGGTGGGGACATAGTTTTCAAACATTGGAATGCTAGGGGAGTTAGAATATGGATAGACTTGTTGGTAGTTAAATAATGGAGGAAGGGGAGGAGGAGAAGGAGGAGGGAGGCTAGAAGGAAAATAGGGGCTAATGGGTGAGGGTAGGCCACAAAAAGGCTGAAATGGTGGGAAACCAGGTCTAGATTGGAAGTCAAAGGAGATAGGTTGACGTACCTGAGAGCAATTGGCCTTAAGTGGTGGGAAGCCTGAACTAGGTTGGGGCATAAATGGCTTAGGGCAATTCATGTATGAATTATTTGCTGGATATATAGTAGGGCTTTGATAAGTAACCGGTACGCAGGACAGAGAATTATTCGAGGATAGAATTGGAGCTGCGGGGTTTGTAGACGTGCTGGGCTGAACAGACTTGTTAGATCTAAGAGAAGGCGTCGTACCCCTAAACGGAACTGTACTACCTATCTTTTGGGTCGGAGTCTGATTCAATTTTCGAGTCTCACCGTTCTGACGCCAAGCCACTGGTGACTTAGCTGTAGACCATTACAGCACCCAGTTGGACAATAGAAGTTATCGGTCTAGCTGATGTAGACGGATTTTCATGTGTCTCAGCGGGACTATCCGGAGGATACGAAACGACAAATGGGGCTGCTGCTGCTGCTGCTGCTGCTGCTGCAACTTTAGGGGCAGGCAAATGCGTCAAGTGGCTTGAGTGAGATGGAGATGTAGGAGAAAGAGGGAGGAGGGAGTCAGATGTCGCAGGAGTAGGAGAAGCTGAATCCTTACGGCCACTTGTATTATGACCGAGTTGGGGAGCATTAGACTGAGAAGCAGTAGGTTTACGTGAGAATAGAGACCCCATTCTACGCTCCATAGGAGTAAGATCATGACAAAGGAAAAATTTTGCCTTCTCTAGGTACGCAGTGACACGCTCTCGATGAGTAAAGATGGTGTCAACTTCGATTGATGAAAACAATTTGACTAAGATGGGTGGATTTGTACTACGGGAGGACAAGCGTTTGGCATCAGCTATTTTATAGTTGAAACCACATGAATACAGGAAACTGGTCGCAACATCAATTGGCCGAGCAGATCGAGGAACATTTTTTAGCAGGAAGTTGTAAGAACGCTTCTGTCTATCACTAGATTCACTGGCGATCAGGTGAACAAGTGAGTCGAGACGCCTACATTCTTCGGAGGGAATATCGGAGATGTTCCCGTCGAATAAATGTCCAAGAATTGTCAGCAAAGAGCCAAACTTTAGCATAAAGTCCTTGCAATGGTCAAGTGCAGACAGATCAAGCTGCCGACCAATTACAACGGGTGACGACTGACTAGTAATATCATCTGACTTAGACTTAGGTAAAGCTTCTGACTTACGTTTAGTTAGGCCATGTTTACTTACAAGAGCCGAGAGCTTACGTCGACCAGTGACTTTTGGTCTCATCTTGTCTCGAGGCAATTTGTGATTAAGAAAACTTCTGGCAGACAAGTTGACTGAATTTCAGCTAGGGGCTAACGATGTAAAAATAAATTACAACAGTTAGAGAGAAATCGGATGCACAAAATGAGAATTGCAAAGTGCGATTAGTGAACAACGGGCATAGACTAGCAAAACTCGAAAGGAGATGGCAGCGGGCAGTTCTTAGAGAAAAGGCCTGTATTTAAGGAAATTCAAACAAAAAAACAGGTACTAAAATCGTAAGATCTCACAGAAAAACCACTAAAAATAATATCCTCCACTTATCTTCAAATTTAAAACCAGCGGCTTGACCTTGACCACCAAGTACTTACATGTAGTCCGTTGGAAAGGGGGCAATCATACTGATGGGTAATCCTAGAACGGAAACCCACCCATCGGATTTGTGCCAGACTTCGCAACCTGAATGAATTATATTTGCATAGATGCCCGCTGTACACTGGGGATGCGATGCGGTCCCGAATAGGCCTGTGCTCATAAAAACACCTGTAGTGGTTGGGGTTGCACCAACGAGCAATCTACCTGTCGCATGCACACCAGCTGTTATGAGCTTCAACTTACAGCACATCCTGATGGACAAAGGATGTCGCAGATAATATTTATAAGCCTGCCTTCACGATGTTCTCCGTATGCGGAACGCGCAGGCCACCTGTCAGAATGTTTTTCAGTTCACGATCACAGTAACCTAGGAAGTCGTTCAAGGAATCAGGTTTACCATAGTCGGAGAAAACTTCAACAACGAAGAGCTGCCCACAAACTGAGTGGATAACACGAGTAAAGACTGGCCACGGGCACTGCCCAGACCCATTTTGATTCTGCCATTATGCAGTTGGACGCGCACTTCGGAAATGCGCTTCGCGGACAGACTCTGCAATTCATCGAGCAGACTACGCTTAAGGTCGTAATGGACATAGCTGCCCCTGTAAAAGGGCTGCTAGTGAAAGTTTGTAGTCTTTAAAGCAGCGTCCTAGGGTTCTCGAGTGCCAATAGATGGTAAAAGCCGCAGAATCCAAAAAACATCTTCGTTGTGGATAGGACGTTTGTGTCTTCGGGAGACGCTCATGGCTGAACCCTCTGCATTCGCCGTCTACTAGTAGTTTGGTCATACCTCCCTTTCCAACTCCTCAGCTGTGGTCGAAACGGACTGTGACCGACCGCGTCTGGCTTCCTCTTGCCTGGCCACTTTGAAGCGAATAGTTTCATCCGGCGAATCAAATCAGCCCTGACGATGACCGTTTTGAATGCCTTATACGATCTCATATGCTGGCCAGTCCTGTCTGACCCGCATACTTACCCCTCATGGCCGACAATTATTTCTGCCCTGGCGATGTCCGTTTATAATCCGTTATACATTGCCGCATGCAGGCCGGTCCTGCCCGCATATTTGTCCTTTCATGAGCGCCAGTTTTTTCTCCTGCAAAGTTAATCCAATCATTTTTTAAATTCTAAAGTGGAGTTTATTTTATTGCTCGCTCATAATTTTTTTAACGGACTACTAATTCAGAAACTATAAAAAGCATATTGTACAGATTCTGCCTACCTCGTCTTAAATTCTTATGAAAATTTATTTTTACCGGCTTTAAAAGGATCCCGATGGGTCTTTGATGCAATAGTTTTATTTATTTAAGTCTTTTCCAACCCAAGATGACCAAACGAAAATCCCTCCGAAAGCTAATCCTAGGGTCCTCACTGTCTTCACCACAACTTATTCTATTCATTTGCTGATGTACATAAATATTTCACTTTGCAATTGATAAGGCATTTTTGGTCGCCATCGTGAGTCCATTGTACGATAGACTCCCAACTCTCCTCTTCCATCCATTTGCTGTTTTTTTACCAATGATTCCGGAGTCGTCTGAAGTCACATTTCATGACCTTTTCGATCGGCTCCCCACACCTCCAGTCTCATTGCACTTTTCGTTTTTCTACGCATTTCCCTTTCAGCTGAGTTTTGCCTCTTTGGTACCACCCTTGGGGCCGCAACTCCCTAACCTGCCAAATACAGCATCCCTCCATCATTTCCTGAAAGGACTCCAACTTATAGCCTTGATACAGTAACCTTTCATATTCTTTCTAGAGGCCACATAGTCAATTAACAGTTTATGAAATTTCCGATTATCATTTCTCACCAGTAAACTTTGAAACGGTCACAATTTATTTCAGGTTGTTTATTGCTATGCTGGACGCCACACATGCAACACCAATTGCGATTTCAGTGGAGCTTTCCGGCTCTAAACGCAGGTTTTGTAAATGATATAATTTGCATAGAAAGGCAAAAAACACCAATGATTCCACTGTGCCCACGACTAGCCCCATATCCAGGAAAGGAAACGTTTGTTTGAGTTAGTCAATGGCACTTATTCGCTTTGCTTCCAATTATGGCGGAGGAGGCCCATCTCGAACTTCTGAATCATAAGTTGCAGCTGCAGCAGGTATAGCCCGAGTCTGGACTGATTGTGCACTAGGTTGAAGCTGCTTTAGAACTTGATAAGGAAAATGAGGATTTGATTAAGTTGAAGAATGATCTGGAGGAAGTTATTAAACTGACGATTGAATTGATTGGCAAACCCGAAAATTCCGAGGAGGTCAAATGGAATGTCGGAGATATGTGCATGGCCATGTGTTCTAGAGATAAACTGTACGTCTCCTATCTCCTTATCTCTTCCTTAGATTCTACAAGGCAAAGATCTTGGAGTTCCTTGGCGAGGCCGCCTGCGTGGTTAATTTCTGCGAGTACGACACTACTGATGTCTGCCAGGTTAGCCTTGAGTCTCCCTATTGTTTCGTCCGGGCCTCCTAGACATGTGTTCTCCTTGTCCATAATCTGTTGGGAGACCGACACCATTTCCTATTGGAGAGGCACTATGTTGTCCCTAACACTGTTTTCCGAGAGCTGCAAGTAACTTATGCAGAATATCACTAATCTAACCATTCTTGAGCTTAAATCCACGGGCAGGCGTTGGTCGAGCAAGCCTCGGCTACGTGACTAGATCAAGTCATTTAGTGCATTGCATGTGTGCGTATTTCCTAACCAAATTTCTGCACTCCTACTTCGTGTTTAATAGAATTTATAAAACCAACACCAAGCCGCTCACTGTAATCACCGCAGCCCGGTTGTCGCCCATCGTGAGTGGTACCGTGTACGTACACGTTTGACGGGCCCATCACCTGCATTCACTTCTTCCCATTAGTCTTAGAGAAACGGTTTTTCAAATCTTTTTGGCGATTGCTTAGCCGTCTGTCATCGTGCCGTGACGCAAGACGAGGACAACATACACAAAGGTTCGGGAGTGATCTCGAAGCCGCATTAACTAGTTCTGAACGCCCTTCAGTGACCGAAATCGCAGTCACCTCCTGCTGAAGAGGAATGGTATGCATCTTTGTTTGACCTGACCAGACTAGTCATTTTTATTTTTTTTTTCTACCATTTGGCACCGGTCCCAATTCAAGGCGCTTTCTGTACGACCTCTGGCTTGGTGAGGTTCACACCCAGGTCTAGGCCCTCGGAGAAATCCGAGCCTGTTTCGTTTGAATCTATAGTTATCAGCTGAAGATTTATGTAATTTATCCGACCGCCCCTTGTATACTTGCGCCAAACAGAGCCTTTGCTTGTTTTAATTTGCAGTACTTCGCTCCAACTCCCAGAAGGGTTTCTCATTCTATCCGTGTTTTTTTCACCGCGGTGTCTAAGGTCTATCCCTTATAGTAATAATGACCCGTTCGACTGGTCTGCTCTTTGCATCGCCCGTCAGGAGTCAGGCCCCTTCCTCAGCTAACGTCCTAAATAACCCAAGCTAGTTTTACAACTGCCGTCTAATAGAGTATGTTGGTTGAATAACTCGCCTCTCGACTCGATTGTCATGTTTGATTTTTATAATCGACTTTAGATTTGCCATCTAAAGCCACTCACAGGCGTTGCCGCACCCGTGCAGAGGACAAAGTGAGTGTTTGATTTGTAAGCTAACCATTCTAGACGTGAAGTAAAGCACCGCGCAATCGAGAAAAAGAAGTTAAAGAAACTGAAAGTATCCCAACGCCGAGAAGAGCTAGAAAAAGCCTGTGAACGCGAGAAGAACCAGTGGCTGAACTTCAACAAGAAAATGGTTAAGACCGGAAAGATTAGGAAAAGTATATTCGCGTCTCCAGAAACCATCGATGGCCGTGTGGGAATCGGTACCTGCGGCATTGCGGGCCGACCAATGACGAAGTTTCACACTCACGCCAGAAACGTTCGCAGATAGTTTTCTGACACCATGTACACATGTATATATGTTGATTATATTGCTTTATCCCACATCCAAACGAGGTTCTCACAGTTCCCGTTTTGTGTGTGACGGCGTCTTCGCCGATTTTGGCGGCGAGTATGACCCTAGCTCCTAGCATTAAGACACAAAACTAGTTTGTTCACAGGGATAAGTACGTCGATTTTTGTCCTTGTCTACGCAGAAAAGGACGGCGTGGTGGCAAGACCGCGCTCGAACCCAGTTTTTATATTTTGCCGACCCAGTGGCTCGATAAGCCGTCGGTTGCGTGCGCTGTAAAGGCCGACCTATTAGAGGCGGCATGGGACAAACCTGAAATATTTTGCATCTGAGCGCCTGGTGTGTCACCCCACTCTACGATACTTTCTTCCTATTTGATCTGCGACGTAGCGAGCGGTCGTTTCGTCTTCTAGGCCGGTTATGCCGATGCGCGCCCAAGTACTGCACCAAGTCATACTACATCTAGACGAACGAGTCGGGCTCTCTCGTTCTTCGCCTCATCAGCTAGAAACCAGGTAATGTTTATCGGCCTCCCTAGACGCTTACAAACGGGGTGGCGACGTCGCACTTGTACACCGACCGACCTATCTTGTCGGAACAGCTTTACCATGGTATTTGGTAGGGGAAACTAATGCCCGAAATAGTTAACAGACTCCTTTCGGTTTGGAAGTGCCACACTCGTTCCTCAAGTACTGCCTTACGTGGCAGGCACAAGTCGGGCGGGGTGGGGTAGGATGTCCGAATAACAGCCTTAGGTCGATTTCATAGGTGGGAAAAAAGCGACGGTCTACTTGTCCTTGGCTGTATCTGGGACCGTGGAGGGTGCGACGCTGTCCACATATGCGCCGATTATGTGGTGTCTGAGAACCAGGCTGGGACATGTCCTTTACGGCCTTCGGCCGAACACGTGGCGAAATCGAGTTTGCAAGTGCTGGCATAGTGCGCTGTCGGACCACCACACTTAAGTGCCTACTGGGTCCGAGGAGCTGTCCGTCGGCCCGCCGATGGTATCATGCTCGCCGTGAGCGATCTCCAAAGGGGGCTTGCCAAAGGCGAGTTTTGGCCTGTGACAAGTCGCAGACAGGAGGCCTCTGGTCGTATTAATGGAAACTTAGTGGCCAGTTTCCTATGAGGAAACACCTGGCCAGCCTGCTCATTGAGGTGCAAGCGTCGGTCATTACCTGGCGGTTTTGCCGATTCTGGCCGTATATGGGGGACATTCGTCTTCCTGAGACTGTGGCTGACGCGCACACAGGGACTGCGTCGCATTGGCACGAACACCTAAGTACTGTGACTATTTTCATGTCGTGGACTTTTCCAATGACCTCAAATGCTCTATGGATCCAAGCATGTGTTGCAGAAAGCATGCGGAAGAGCATCCTTCCTTAGACACTAGCAAATTACGTTTTATAGATTTTAAGGTTTTCCGCTTTTTGAATTCCCACTAACATCGGGCTCGACCTGCCGTCACGCTTGCGTTTAGGGTTTTTAAACCGTGAGCCGCACACTCCATTTAATGCATGCATGCATGCATGCAGTCCTCTACGCTCTAGAGGTGCCACATAGCGCCCATGAAATTTCGCCCCGAATATGGGCCACGTTGCGTACTTCGAGAGGAGCATGAAGCGGGCAGATACTCTGCTGTACGAATAAGTGTTTCTTGGTCATGAAAATCTCGCAGTTACAAACGTCTTGGGACCGAGGGACATCCACTGTGAAAACAAGACTCTGGGGGCGGCGTGCTTTCCTTCGAAACGCGCACGAAGCGTGTTTGCGTATAATTCCCGCAAAGCATGCGTGGAGTCATGCAGACGTCGAAGATCAAAGGGAAAAATTCGTCCTTATTGTGCAATCATTTCTGGCGACTATGACTTTGCAGGCGGCTGGAGTGACACGCTTCCAGAAGTTGGCGTCCTGACGTGATTGAAATAGCTTCGGAATTACACTGCATGATGACCAATATTACAAGAACAACTTAATAATCCTTTCTAATTCTTACCAGATCTCGAAGTCTTAGTTAGCGTTTCTTAGGACACCATCTACCGGCTCGTAAGCCAGAAATGGCTATCCCAGTCTCTCAGTCTATCGGTACTCCTTTTCACATATATTACTAGTCACCATGCGACCTTGTCTTCGCTGGTCCAGTGTTTAGGGACGTTGGACTTCCAACCAGGTCGCGGGATCGAGCCTCATGTGTCCCACACCTAGGAGTTGTGTATAACTGGCTGACGATGGCCAATAAGCCAAAAAATGGCCATTCCAGTCTCCATCGTCTTTGCCTGTATTGCATGCCGCTGTGCGGCTGCTGACGGGGCTCGGGAGGGCCGCTAGGCACAACGGGACGAGTGAATTCCGCAGCACGATTGGGGAGCACCCTTCAACTATTGTACATGCCAGATCGCAATCGACAGGGAAACGGGCCCGTGGCTTGGTGGTTGGGGACGCTCGGCATCTAACTAATAGGTCGTGCGATAGAGCCCCAAGCGTTCCACACCTCGAGGTAGGGTATTGCTGACAGATGACTGACAAGCTAGATATGGCCGTTCCGGTCCCCCCCTTGAGATTCTTTGGGAACAAAATAACCTTTATTGCGCAAATTTTCAAGGCCGGCTCTCCAGCTCGTCATGCCGTGGGGTCACGTACAAAAACAGCTAACTGTGTCCAACAAGTGATTCTGTGGTTGGCCGAAGCCTGTGCCAGTGCGCGTCAATCGTATTTCGTCATCCCCTCAACGTGACAGTACCCTAAGGGGTACTAGGTAAAACACTAATTATTTATTGGCTGTGCTCGCTTCCATTTGTCTTTGAGAGATCTGCACATGGCACCTAAATCTACGTGCCGATTGATACAGGCGTCATCTGAGTGCATTGCTTGCAGGAATTCGCGGCATCATCGGACAGGCGCCAACAATGTGAGTGTTTTCCCACACAGGTTTGTGTCCAGTGTGCACAGCTACCTAGGATAGATGGTCTTGTCTCCCCGCCACTAACTAATGTTCACGTATACGGTCTGAGACAGATTTCCCAGTCTGGCCGCAACAGCCGGCAGCACGACTGAAACATGGGATCTTGTAGACAACGCCCTTTCTATTGAGATAACGAACTATGTTCTTATGGCGTACAAGCTAGGTAGGTAGTTGCAGGTTGATGTGCTACTTGTATGTGATGCTTTTCAGCTGTCATCCGACGAGCCTGAGCTGGTCACCAGGTGAATAATTCGGATGCCCGGCTGGCCGTAGTGCTCGAAATACCTATTTGTCTGAGCTAATGCTTCATGCACTGACGCAGAAGGTCACGCGAGTACCCGTTGTGCGAAAGTAACTTTAAGAGGTATTTCTGCTTGACAACCCTCTTCATCACAGCAGTGTGTTTTGGCTCGATTTAGCTTCTCTGAGATAGACGGAGGTGTGGAGAGATCCATGAGTTTTTCGACGTACAAGGATACCCGGAAATGGGAGTCGTCGACCAACCTTTTCGAAAGTCAACTTGGTTCCTGAGAATATGGAGTGAAAATTCGTGTGGATCAGATCTAACTGGACAATGACAAATATGTCATCAACACAGCGCAGCCACATGTTGGGCTAACTTTAGGAAGAGCTATTGATTCTAGTTTCTGCATTAGGGCTTCTGCCAGAAAGCCAGATATAGGCGAGCCGATAAGGACGCTTCCCAGTTGGCGATAACATTGTTTGGCGAAAGAAAAGTTGGTTTACAGACAAATAGCTGGTAGTTGGGACATCCCAAGAAATGTAATTTGGGATAGGTGAGATGTTTTGGGAACGTAATAACCTTTATTGCGTAAATTTTCGAGACCGGTCCCCCAGGTCGTCGTCACTTATGGGTCATATACAAAAAACAGTTAAAGATTTAACTATGTTGAACAAGTGATTCTGCGGTTAGCCGAAGCCTGCGCCGAGGGCATGACGAGATGCAGTGTTCTAAAAGAATCTCACCAGCGACGGTGGTGATTATAACGGAATCCCATAAATCCTTCGAGACAGGCCTCCGGTCCAGTCCGAAAGTTGGTATATTTAGATTGTAGCCCACAAGTTGATGTATCCACCCGAGGCAAGTAGAATGGAAAAGAGGAGACTCTTCGGGAAATCAAGTTATACGCATGAATTTTCAAGCCGGTGACACCAAACCGTCGCCATACAGAAAGAAACAAGATGTGGCATAACCAGAGTAGAGTGGTGGAAGAAGGATGGCGATTCGGTGAGCCCCCAGACAGCCGGACATAGATTCGTTGTTGAAAATAAATAGTGACCCATGGGCCTTTGTTTTTAATGTTCAGACGACCCAAGAGCAGGCAGGAGTCTATCAGTGGAGGTGGGTTTGGTGTCGCGCCTCACAGCATCCTAATGAGTGTCGCTCATGGCGAGATGCTCATGTCTCCAGGATTTTTGGTCGTTGCGGGGGGGGGGAGCGGTGGTTGTTGTGGTGGCAGCAAATACCCTTCCGTTCTTTATCGAGGTGCGGCGATTGGATGTGTATAATCATTACTGTCCTTGTCATTCACACCCATCCGCACTTGCATGTTCCGTGGCTGCTACTCTAGCGCCGACGCCTGAGTTCATATCTGACCGGCGCTCCCCGTCACCGGCTTCCGCAACCGTCCCCGTTCAGGCCTGACGACTCTTTCGGGTTCACGCCACCCTTGGATGCCCTTTTACTTGCGTTTCCAACTTCGATGACCGAATCATCATGCCCCCGCTCTCTGCAGCAGTCTTCTGGCTTTCAGACAATAGACTGTCATACGATCATCTTGTCAGGGAGGAACTGTCGATTTCCAAAAACAAGACGCTCGGAGAGGATGAGATTGTTACTGAAATCTACAGAGTGTCGACACTATGAGATGATTAATCATGCGCGGAATGCTGAACTTGTTTTAAGGGACCGGGACACGGATATCATTGGATGCGCATATTCTCTTCCATTCGTAAGAATATCGGGCGTAGTGCGCTTCGTACAGCTCGCAGCTGGCAAACAGTCTCCACAGGAGAGGCAGCAACTTATGAACAACTGCGCCTTCTACATATGTGTGTTCGCGACGGACTGACACCGAAGAGCCTTCGTTATAAAGCGCCAGTGCATACCGAATTGGGCCGAGGCGTCGTACAACGCTTCCGGAAGCAAACGATAAGACTGTTGATCAACGACTGCCACGCACGCTTGCGCAAGTACCGAACTGTCATAGAAGAAAGGTCGGAGTGCGCGGCATTACTCAGCGAACCAGTTACCGAGTGTCTGGACCGAACAATATCAACCCTGGCAAAAGCGAGACAGGAAGTGAAACGCATGAATATAGACCAAAAAGTCGTCAAATTGGAACCCGAAATCAATACTGACGTAAATGTGGTACACAACTTATCTTCGAAGCAGTTAAGCGAACCGGAACTCAGTGTTGGACCTCGAAGCCAATTTTAACATTGCTGATGCCACCCCAGCCGACTTCATTGCCGCACTTTAGGCCATGTTAGTACGAACTAACGCGACCGAAGAGGCTAAGCACACGGTGCGCCAAAAGGTCACGTCTCTCCTGATGACGAACACGCACGCTAGCTATATGTCGCCCGCAGAAATAGAAGCAATGAAGAGATTAAAAATGGACAAAGATATTATAGTGATACCAGTCGACAAAGGGAGAGCAACCATTGTGATGAACCGCGTTGATTACAACGAGAAGGCACAAGCTCTCCTGGACGACTAATAGTCCTACAAGTCCGCACATGCCTCGCATGGCCAGCTGACTGGACTCTTAAGCCGACTCCGGCGTAAAAATGTAATTTCGCTTGACGAATGGCGCCAGACAAAACCAACCGACACGGCGTTGGCCAGGTTCTAGGGGCTACCAAAAATCCACAAACCCAACGTTCCTCTGCGGCCAATCGTTGTCCTGAAAGCCAGCCCCACATACAATCTAACCAAATTAATGTCCCGAAAACTCAATTTTCTCTGAGAGGGCTCTGTGACCTCAGTCAATTCGGCCTCCCAATTCCTTGCCGACATTCGGGAAAAACTATTCGACCCGACCAAATCATGGTATCCTTCGACGTTGTCTCACTTTTCACATCCATCCCACCAGACTTGGCGCGCGACGTGCTATGCATACACCTCGAAGAAAAGTACGACGAAACGACAGGACCGTTAAAGATCCGCAGCTAATGCAGCTCTTTGCATTCAGCCAACGAACCTTTTTCACCTTCGGTGGCAGAACATACAAACAAATCAAAGAAACACCCATGGGTTTTCCAAAATCCAGCCTAGTTGCGGGACTGGTCCTACAAGAACTGGAGAAGGTTGCTTTCAGCCACTACAAACCTGTGTTTTGGCACCGATATGTGGACGATACATTCGTCATTATTGAAAAGGACAGACTATGGGGTTTTCAGGACTTGATTAGCAGCATATTCCCCGACGTTCAGTTTACAAGAGAGGACGAGAAACTACCCCTCCTTGACGTGCTCGTCACGCGCAGACCTGATAGTAAACGCAGCACTACAGTGCACAGAAAGGCGACCAATACAACCCAGGTCCTTAACTATCATAGCAATCACCCATTGGTGCACAAACGGGGCTGTGTGAGGGCGCTTTTCGATCGGGTAAAAACGCACTGTAGCGAGACCGAAGGAAGGATGCAAGAACTACGGCATCTCCGGGACCAATTAACAAGCAACGGCTACCAAAATAGTTTCATCAGCCGCTGCATACGCAGGCACCCACGACGGACAAACGGAAGTGAGACACCAACAATTTGGCACTCCCTACCGTACATAGAGAATGTGTCCGAGGCTACAGAACGCATTGCGTCAGAGTTAGGCGTGCGCATCGCTCATCATCCGGCGGCTACCATGCGTAGCAAGATCATGAAAATAAAGGATCGGCTGGACGCAGGTGAGCAGTCGGTCATAGTCTATCAAATCCCGTGCCATAACTGTCCTTGCCACTACACACGCCAAACAGGACGACGTCCCAGCTCACGAATACTTGAGCACAAACGGGCCGCTCGGAGAGGCGACCCACTATCTCAAGTAGCCACTCACACGCTGGAGGAAGAGCTTGAGTTCGACTTCGCCAACACGCGGATATTGGCGCGAGCCGGCAACAAGACAGGGCGAGAGCTGTTGGATGCGTGGGTGTCGGACACCAAATCTATCAACAGACACATTGATTTGCCTGCGTGTTATCACGTACTCCGCCCACGCTGCCAGGTGGCGCAGCTCGCATCGACGCGAAGTACAAACGGCGTCACCACGCAGGGGGAACAATTTTGGACCAGGCGGCACAAACCAGACCCAGCCACGGACGTAGTCGCCCCCTCCCCTCCCACTCACGGCACAATAATATAAATGTTCACACGTTGCTGCACTCTAGCAGTCTCTGATGATGAAATCCAGTTCGAGTTCGAAAGCTAAGGCCAATAAGCCTCATTAAAGTTGGTGAAAGATCCTTGCTGTTGTCAGTCTCAGGATTTCAGTGAGCGTGACTGGAAGAAAAGACCAGCCAATCGGGGTTCCGAGCTGGGGGTGGATGGGCTGACCAAATAATCAGACTGCGGGGCATTCTTGAAATTCATCACGGCTACCGACAGCTGCCTGCGTTGTTGACTTCACCATCGCGTTCGATTCGGTCCATCGGGAGTATCTGCAGCGGATAACAAATCCGGACGGTATGTCGAATATGCCGAGTCTTTCCAGTGTCCGCTACCCGTGGACGTGCGCGGCCAGCCGCGAAACAAACTTGTCTGATGAAACAGCAATCGTGAAATAACAGCGGCGGCAATAGCAGTATTTGGCGGTTGAGGTCTAGCGAACCGACTTTTCAATAAAATGCCGCAGGGTCAGACGACGGCACCGTAACGCGGAAAGCATTAACAAAAGTTGAATACGTTTTCTCACAACATTATTGCCTTGAGGACTAGACATAAGGTTACGGATCAGGTTGAGGACTGGAGGGACAAACATGCATCGGACTTCATGCATCTCGACCTTATACAAGTCCCTTAATGGCGGCTCTATTAGACAGTATCTTTGAGAAACAACTGTAAAGCAGTAGTAAGGCAGCAAGACAACTATGCCCTCCTCGCAGACATACTGACGGTTAGGCAGTGAAGTGTGCCGACCTTAAATCAAATTTCTCCAGGACTGCACCCAGCAAACACAACGTTGACCGTTAACGCTGTCCGGAGGGAAGACAAAAAACATGGGTAGCCGTGGTAAACGCACAAATCAAGTGCGCATTTGGTAAAGCGGCCTATTAGGCTGATGTGTAAACTGAAGTAAATTCGATTCAGAGTCTGCCACTGAGAACCTCCAACGACGACAGTCATTCGGACTGTTTTGAAACCGCAAAAGTTGTTGCGGACCCACTAAAGACACATTCGGGAAGACGAGTTGCTCGTTAGCCTAGCTGCTGACTACCCGGTGCGTTCACAGGTGGCGGATAGTAGAACGGCCTTCAACGAAGTTTAGCTGCGAAATAAGCAGACCCAAGTCTGACCAATAAGCAGTCGCGGACAAGCAGGGACAGTACTACCAAGGTGTGGAGGACTGAGGTCTGGCACGCTGGTCGCCTTACAAAAAAGCCGCAAAGCCCAATGGCGGCACTGTGACATAGCAACCGTAAACCGCCATTAAATAACTTTATTTGTCATCGCTGCTGTGTTGTTAAGCTTTTAGGCCAAAGTGTTAAAGGAGGCAACCTCGAAAAAACAATCCGAGCGGCTGTTTAAGACGCCTGTTTCCAAAATTTCCAGGAAACCTCGTGAAATATGCTCCACTACAATATTACGACCCATGCTACGGCGTCCGCGAGAACCGACCCTGTTACAGTGGTGCAGGCGAATAGTATGCGAGCTGGACTACCTAAAGGAGAACATACTCGTAGTATTGGATGCCGGGATGTGCGAACTTTCCTGGATCCTGGTATCTAAAGTCTGACTGCGCGCAGCCCTAATCAGTACAACGTGGATGTCTGCTGCCCGTCTGAAGTCCGACATCCTGACTCAGGCTCTCGGGAAACCAAGATCCCGGGAGTCGACTCACACTCCACTCTGTATCACAGAGGCCCGCGCGAATCTTCTGGTAGACACGGTGTGGCGATCGTCATCTCGCAACAGACGGACCTCGCTTTACTTGCTTGGGAACCAGTCAATGACTGGATGGCCTACGTGCGACCGAAGGGTCACCTCACGAACAGTTCTATCGTCTGTATGTACGCACCAACTTCAACTGCCGAACATCGCGATAACTAGGCGTTTTACTCGCAGCTGCAGTCGTTAGTTGAAAGACCCCCTCGCCGCGATCTGGCGATTATTGCCAGGGTCTGGAGTGGCCGAAATGCACTTGGCGACCCTACAAACAGTCATCTTATTGGTCGCTTTAGGCTTGGTTCTCGGTATGACAATGGCGAGAGATTGCCAAACATCACTGATCAGAACAGATTGCTTGTCACTGACACGTGCTTCCAGCATCGCAACAAACATCTGCTGACCTGGTATTCAAACAAAGGTCATACGATCAGTCAGATTGACTACATTCTAGTCAGCTTAAGGTCACTCAGCTGGGTTCATGATAGCAGATCGATGCGTGGTGCCGAGACCGGTAACGCTCATGGGTCGGATCATGTCCTCGTTCGTACACGCTTGAAAGTTCACTTCTCATCCGCGTTAAAAATGCCACGTGCCAAACACCTCGATGTCGCAAAAATCCAGCAACCCAGCACTGCCGAGGCTCTGAGCAGAGAAATCCGGTCCTGTTTTTCCACCCGAGCCGACGGAGAAGGCAGTAACCAGTGGTCGTCAATAAGTCTATGGAGCACCCGTGAAAATTCTTGGATAAACCCAACGACGCCACAGTGAATGGATCAGTGAAAAAACCCTGCACTTGTCTGCTCAGACGGCTCGACCCAAGTCCCGTAATGATGATTCCTCCCGCCTACTTCGGAAGATGACGGAAAAGTCGGCCAGGGATGATCGGAAGCAATATTGGGCTGAAATAGCGACCTCGACGAAGCAGGCCTCGAACTTTGGTGACACTCGAAAACTCTACCAACTTATCCGCCAGGTTAGTGGTAAGCCCTATGCACTGAGTGATTCTGTTCGCGACGTGAAGGACAACTTTACTGCTGACAACTCGTCCAAGAGCAAGCGCTGGCATGAGCACTTCGAGTGCCATTTCAACTTCGATACCCAATCCACCACGCCCTTGTTCTCCCCTGCAGCGGAGTCTCCTCCCCCTCCAACCTATGCATTGTCAGGAGACCCCCTTGTGAAGAAGTCGCCGATGCCATACAAAGGCTACGCAACAACAAGGCACCGGGTAAGCACGGTATACCCGCTGAAATTTACAAGTCTTGTGTCGACACTCTGGCGCCCTGGCTCCATGAGTTGACTCAACAAGCGTGGAGAGACGAGGTTTCTCCTGATGACCGGGACTCAGGTATCCTTGTAACTATCCTAAAAAAGGGAGATAAAACAAGATGCGAGAACTACCGCGACCCAAGTCTCATCGACTTTGTTGCGAAGATCCTCGCCATTTTCCTTCTTAGGCGATTTCAGGCTGTGCGTGCCACTCGGACGAGGCCCAATCAAGCCGGATTTCGTGCTCGATGTGGATATGCGAACCACGTATTCACACTGAGGCGCATTCTTAAATTCAGCCATAGCTACCAACGACCGACGGCCGTCTGTTTTGTTGACTTTGCTGCCGCGTTCGACTCCGTCCGTCGTGGGTCCCTGTGGTGGATAATGGCATTAGATGGTGTATCGCCAAAAATCCTCACCATGGTCAAGGCCTCTTGTCGTTCCACCGGTGCGCAAGTTATGGTCCACAACAATCTTTCCCAACCGTTTGGTATTCGGTCTGGCGTTTGACAGGGTTGTATCCTGTCGCCCATTCCGTTTAACTACGCTATTGACCGGATTCGCGGAAGGGCCCTACACGAAGATGACGGTATTGAGCTTGCACCCTGACACCGGCTGACTGATCTCGACCATGTCGATGGCATGGCCCGACCAGCTTCAGGTTTAGGTGATCCGCAGCCTATGGTTTCACGGGTGAACGATGTCGCTAAATCGGTCGGTTGGCCCATAAATGCTGAAAAGACCAAATTGTTTTCAAGCTGAATCCCGGACCAGAAGAAGGTAACACTCGACATTGATGGCCGTCAACTTGAGGAAATAAACAGGTCTAAATACGTCGGGGCGAGGCTGCTGCCGAATGGGCAGAGTAAGGACGGAATTGTATCCCAAATCGATGCCTCCTGACGGGCTTTCTTAAACCTTAGACGATGCCTATGGATCCGACGCGACACCTCCTTTGCCACTAAGATTCGCGTGTACCGTGCATCCGTCCGATCTGTCCTCCATGGTTGTGGATGTTAGACTGTGCGCGTGGAGGACAAGCGAAAACTGGAGGCATTTGACCACCACTGCTTGGGGACCATCCGTCGAGTGGAGTACATCGACTTCGCCTCAAATGACACAGTTTGCATTCGCTGCGACAGCATCGCACAGATAACCCAGGCCATCCAAGAAAGACGACTGAGGTGGTTTTGGCATTTTCTTCGTCGCTCACCTAGGAGCTCAGTGTTACTGCCCTCGACCCGGCACCGTTAGCCAAGTGGGAGCGTTGAAGGGGGAGTCAACCGAAAACCTGGCTTGACAGATTTCGTCAGGAAGTGGCGGTGGTTCTTGGACCTTCGGTATTCGATCTTAGTTGTTGGCAAAGAGAATGGGTTGAACTGTCCAGATGTGCTGCCTCAGATCGTCACACGTGGAGAGGTACAGTTCGGGACACCGTCGAGGCCAGCTAGGCCAGGTATGATCGCAGCCGTACTAGGTGCAAGTAAATAGCATGGTTGACGTCATAACTAAACGGAACACGACAGTGAAAGGACAACAAATAATTTTGACGTGTAATGATGAACGAAGCAGTTTCTGATTCATGTGGACATGCGTATTTTGGCAGTTAATGTATCTGTAGTCGCTGAGTTGGAAAAAAAGAAAGTAGAATGTTTCTCGCTTATCGCCGCAACAACTGTTTCATTTCCCGGACATTCCCTTTTTGAATTCCTCCGCAAGACGTCTTCGAAAACTGGAAGCATCAGCGCACGGACTAGACGCATTTTCAATTCCTTTCAAAACTGCAGACAACGTTAGGAAAAGGAAATGACGAACTTTTGCTTTTTGAGGTGTTCATCAGGTTCACCAGAAGTCTTGCAAGGGAGCGCATGAAAGGATGCCTGGACATTTTCGGGACAATAGTGCGTTCGACGTCCGAATTATTCAACAAAATACTGGAGAAGCTCGACAGAAAATACAACAAACTTCAGAATGGCTCGCAACATGGCCGCTAGAAAATCAGCATCAGTTTAGTCTTCTAGATGTGACTGGTTATATATTCTAGATCTGATAGTTCACGATCAGATCTGTAGAAAATCGAACAAAATGGTGTCTTTCTGAGCGAAGTGTAATAAGCTCCCAATCACGGGAGGAATCTTGTAGGGTCGCCGCTACCAACGTTCTCCCTATCGCCCACCAAAATGTGCTCTCTGATTGGTTAGCTTTTTTGCGAATGTGTAACACCCAGCTTGTCCTCGTCCTGTAGGGGCTTCAGATCGCCGGTACCTTGGTAGTCCTTCGCTGGACGACCAACTGAGAAGGGCTCGTCAATGGATTGATTCCGTGTCCCAGACGACATGATAACAAGTAATCCAGCAACAATCGTCAGCAGGAGTGATACAAGGAACCGTTTATTGTAATCGAATAATTGTAACACGGAGAAAGGGAGTTACAGGGGTGTGGCAGACTCCTTGATTGCGTTAGTCAAGGGATGTCTCTCTGACAGAATAATTCGGTTCAGTATCTGGCTGCACAAGGGGAAGTGTAGAGCTGGAGGCTGCTACAGGGGTTGGGATCCGGTTCTCGCCAGTCGATTCTGAAACTTAGAAGAAAAACAGGGACCTTCGTAAAACAACAAAAGGACGGATCAGTTCAATTCTGTCATACCACAAATGTTCTTATGTATTGGTCGCACGAGTCGGTGCATAACCAAGAGAATACAGGCGTAGCGGCCGAGGACGTCAAGGGTAGCACACACCGGAATAAAGAAACGCCGAGAAGAGATCCTGACGGAGGTAGACCTGAACAGAACTGTTAACATCTCTCGAAACTCGTTCACACGCAGAAGAAGAGAGTACGTCGATTATGGATATAGTGTAATGGAACAACTGATATGAAGAATGTATATAACAAACGTTAATGTACACGAGCAACGAGGAACAGATTATAGGTGACCTGTCTGGATGGATAGACGACCCTGCGTACTAGCTAAACAGCCGGTGGGGATGCAGCGCTGTGGGCAACTGCAGGGAAGGGCCGAGGGAGCCGACATTGAGTGAGAGAGCGAGAGAGAGTCGAGAGCGGCGGTTCGTTGCGGGAGGGGGGTCGGCGGTAACGGGAGGAAGGGACACCGGTCGTCTTCGCCAGCACGCAGTTACGCCATCTCCATCCTAGGTCTTCGCGCCAAAAGTGTCGTGGCATTCAAACAATACTGTTCAAGTCCAGGGGCGTTACACAGGATCACCTGCTAGCGTGAGCGGGAAAAGGCAAAATTAGGGGCATAGGCAGCGCCATTTTCGCGCATTTTGTCGATTCTGGGCATAATTTAGACTAATGAAGCGTTTTGTGTGATCTATATGGTACCCTCGAGCTATCCTAAACCACTTGGACAGCGCCTGTAGCAACAGCAGAGGCGACCGCCATCAGGTTGGGAAAACCAATATTGTGCGCACTGAATAACTACGTTCAGGCTCCGCGCCTACAGTGGTCGAAGGTCGACTAACGCTACAACTCTCCCGCGCCCTTCCGCTCTCTGCCCGTCAATGACACTGACCGCTAATATCATCCCCTCCCCACATTCCCACACCCAGTCTCTGCTTCAAGGCGAGTTTTGATCGATAAATCTTATCACTGACATATTTTTACGTGTACGCCCTTCCCATACAATTGTGCTGACCCGACGAGAATTTATCGAATGCTACGTATGCTCGCCACCTCTTCTTCTTGAAATACCTATGGCTAACTTCCATGGTACTGGTTGTTGTAGCTTCAAGCCGGCAAATTCACACGAATTTTTAACTCTGTTTCGTTGGACGTACCTTAAATACTGGGGTTGGGGTTAATTTGGGGATTAAGTGCAGGGATAGGGATAGAGTTATTGTGTGATTTATGTTAAGGATAGGGCTAGTTAGAGGGTTTCGTAGGGTCTAGCTTCATCAGTAATTTCAATTTCAGGATTAATGACATGGTTTGCTAGCGGCAAACGCTAAGATTAGGGCCCGGCAAGAGAAGACGACTGATCAGTTTTTCAGGCCATGAAGACTTAGTTAAGGGGGGCCTATTAATATTATTGGCTTATAACTTATCTTATCAAACGACTGATTTCCTGATTCTTTCAACAGTCTTTTTAACTCTTGCCACATTTCACATGTTAGGTCTCCACCTACTTTTTGTTTACTTACAAGGCTCCCGTGATTGTTTTTGGTGTTGATGTCGCTACTGTCGAATCCGACTGAACACAACGAAGTTTTTTGCGTCGACTTTGTTACCACACCGTAATTTCTGACTCTGATATTTGCACTAGAAGCGTGCGTACAATATTAACTTCTGCATTCAATTTAAATTTAAATTTAATTTTTTTGATGCCAGTTTACAGGCATTGTCAATGTGGCAGCAGTGAAAAATAACTCCTGATTAAAGGAATAAAAATAAAGTTGATGGTGGTTTTACGGTTTGCAGGGTTCAGGAGAAAAAAACCGCGGACCACAAACTCTCGACCGTCAAGAAGGGAGGGCTTGCACGGCACTGGAGATTATGAAACGCCAATTTCTTTCGTGAACATAGGGTTAGTCCAACCGTAAGCGCCGAAGAACAGCTGTCGCTGACGGCCAAAGAAACTGTCCCTGGTGGAACGAGTCATAGTGGTCAGAGACTACAAACGCCATCGCCACGTTATAGTCGATTAGTGGATTCAGCACTCAAAATTTGAGGAAGCTTTTCTGAATGCAAAAATCGAGTAATAGTTCTCTTAACTAAAGGATAAGTTTGCAGAGTTTTCACACCCATTGGTAGTTTATTCCAAATAGCAATTGCATTTACAGAAAGGAACTGACGATATTTAACAGTACATGCCAGAGGAAGAAATAAAAAGACCTCACGGTGACTGTTACGTCGTGGGTGGACATAGAATCTTAAAGAGGTGAGTGGGTCAAATGTGTGATTATATAAGAGTTTAAATAGCAAAAATAGCCCCTTTTTTAATCTACGGAACCATAAAGGTCAAGGCCCGTAAGCCGGCAACGTTCTTGGTAAGACAAATGTCGGTGTTCCGGGATTAAAACTCTCTTGGTAAAAAAGTGTTGAATAGGTTCTATTTTCTTTCGCTCAGTAGCACGCATGAGGCTAAATAAAAACAAACAGTATTCCAGACCAGGTCTAACGTACATGTTGAAAAGGCGCATTCTAATGTCCCTAGTTTTAAAGTTTCGAAGGATAAACCCGGTCGTTCTACGTGCATTGGAGACTATCAAGGCACAGTGCTCCGAGAGATTGAGACTCTTGGAGTATGATACGCCCAGATCCTTAAAAACCCCAGGCACATTTATGGCGTGACCTTCAATACTTAGTTGAAGTTGGCGCTCGTCGCCAACCACTATGAGTGAGCACTTATGCCAAGAGAGAGAAAGGCGCCATGTGCGGCACCATTGGGCGAAAGCCTGTAGATCGCTCTTATGGAGCTCGAGCACGATGTCATGATCTGCCGGCTTATATCGATATGCAACTTTAAGATCATCGGCATGCATGAAAGGCTT